GGGGGGGGGGATTGCCAGCTGCACGAAAGGCATGAAAACGGGTTGTTTTTCGGACGGCCTCTTCGTGAAATTCCATCTGATTCATCAGGTGATTCATCAGATTCATCTGTACGCAGCTTATTTCATCCTTCTTGTCATCCCGTATCTGTTAAACAAGACAATGTCGATCACATTTGTTATTTTTTACTATTTTTTGCTGTAATTATTTCTTAAATGTCCACAAGCTGACCACTGGTCAGTGCAGCCAACTGGAAGAGGCGCCATGTGTGTGTGAAGAAATTGACTTATGACGAAGTCCAGTTGTGGTAACGGTAAGAAATGTATACGACTTAATGGACCGAAACATTTAACTTATCCTTTACAAATATTTTCATATTACCCCTCCCCTCGTTTTCTTTTTCTTGATATTTTCTCTTTAAAACAAAAGGCAGTACGAGCATAAAAGGCCCTGTGAAGAAAACAAGAAGGAGCCGGAACAGCGGCCCAATCAGCGAAGGGTATTAAACGGCCGGGGCCGCATCAACCGTGCATGCAATAGGAAAATGCAGGGTGGGACGGTAGTCGCCCAAGGTCTGTAGTGATAATGAGAGGAAGGAAATAAAAAAGTCAGATTGTTGTGATGCATATTTTTTTAAAAAAAATCAGGGTGGAATTTAAAAGAAGTCATGTAAAGAGCAGTGTGTAAAAAATCCTGCTTGTGTTTTATCCCCAAGCTGTAAACACAGGCAGCAAGATGTCTTTAACTCTAAATTATGAATTACGCAGGTAGCGGGGTTGTCATTGCAGAGGATCAAGATTTCGGTGTGGTCAGCGAGGAAAACCAGTCCCTCCACGATTCGTTCATTTATTTCAGGCATAGGCAACCTTTGGTGGCAAGCGGGCCTGATTTACATACTTACTTAAGCTCGCGGGCTATCTTTTAATAAAATTCAGGTAAAAAACGCACCAGGCTTGCTCGTCGGTCATGCGTTTTTGCACTAAACTTGACGCGTTGAGATCGCTAACAGTATGAATGGTTGTTGCTCCACAGTTTAGCACGTGCAACTCATGTGCCTGTGTTTTGGTCTTTTCTTGCATGCAGAGGAAAAGGGTGCCAGCTGGGACGGTAGTGTTGCATCATGGCTCTTCTTGTCGTTGAGTTGAAATGAGTGACAAAATTCACTTGCTTCTGATTGAAATTATACGCCTTGCATTTGCATAAGATGCAAAAAAGCATAATTGTCAAACAGATCCTCTCATTCCGCTTACAGCCTCGTTTGTTTTCGTTTATCATCGCACGTCCAAGTATACATTTTTTTATGTGTTTTAAGTGAAAATGTTTGTTTTTAGGGATGTCGCTGCCGCCGCCGCCGGATGCGCCATCGAACACTCCTCAAAATGTAGGATTTGAACAGACAAAAACTTCATAAATGCTTGGTCTTGTGTTTTGTACAATATCCGTTGTAAAATAGGAAGGGCAGTACGTGCCGTAACGGCCCTATGAGCATCATATCAAGAAAAAACTATAAACAGCCCCGGGGAGAAGACTGTAAACAACGGCCAATACAGTCAGCGGCAAAA